TGCACGCTACAAGCTGCATCGTCTGTCAAGGGAGAAAGGATTACCCTGCCTCTCTTGGGGAGACTCGTGCCCATGTTGTGTGAACAACTCTGCACGAGCACCTAAGGAGGCTTACCTCCTTACTAGCCCGTGGTGGCGCGTACGTATCTCTACTGAGATGTACGAAGGGATTGACAACCTGAAATCCCTTTACGACCGTGCCGGGAAGACTTTCTCCGGCGGTCCTTCTGCGGCACAGGATGTGCCGCATCGTACTGCTCGACCAGACCCAGTACGTTAACCATCAGTTGGAGCGGGGCTCCCAAGTATCCCAGGACGGGGGATAACCGCGCCACCGGACGAGATAACTCGTCCGACGTCCGTTAACGTCGCGGTGGTTCAACAGCTGCTCAACTAGATAGCGCTGGCCACCGCGAGAGTCCTCTAATGGAGGTGGAGGAGGAGGGAAGACGCTCTCCACACGATCATGTGGATCGGTGTGTTCCCGAGAGCTTCTTTGATCGCGTAACGCAAGGGTTACGCGACGATCTCGAACATGAGCGGGACAGGCGTCTCCAAATGGCGGACACTGCCTCGAAGCATCGAGCTGAGTTTGCCTTTGCTCAGCTTGAGAACGAGAGATCTCTGACATCTCTTCGTGACGAGCTACGGGTAGCTCGTGGAATTGTCGATCGGTCTCGGGATGAGATATCTGCTCTTCAGACCCTTGTCGATGCGCACCATCGGGAGCACAAGGCTCTCTGCGAGATGCTTGAGCGCAAGGGCGTTCTTCATCGGAAGAAGCAGCGTACTGGTGGTACGGCTTAAGCCGACCAACGTAAAACGTGGGATGCGTTCGCATCTTACGTGGTAACTCGATCGTGTATGCATTGCCTAGGCGGTGCAATACACGAAATGGGCCGACGTACTTGGGTAGAAGTTTACTACTACCCAAGTTAATCACTACATGCTTTGGTAGATTAACCGTAGCCAGTAGGACTAAGTCACCCTTATTGAATAAAAGAGTGTTTGCCCTCCTATTCTTGTCTGCGTTTTGATTTTGCCTATCCACCGCTTCGGCGATGGAATCTTGCACAAAACGGACTACCGTTTCACGAGCCAGTATGAACTCATCTGCTGGCTCGTTATCTTCAGTGCGCTGTGAGTGCACTGCAGCGACAACAATCTTTTCTTCAGTGAGGGCTTCCGCGCTCTCACTGGCATTATCTTCTTCGATATCGATGTTATCGATATCGGCATCATACGCAATGACCTCTTCGTCAGAGCGTGATGAGCGTGAACCCAATCGGCTTTTGCTCGCGCGAGTCCATTCCCCCTTAAACCAGAGTCACACTCTAGCAAGGTGGGTACACGCGGATGGCGTAAGCCATTCACGTAAAACGGTGTATGTGTCGTGGACGCATGCACCGAGTTGTTGATGGCAAACTCTACCATTGGCAAAAACTCACTCCAACTCTTAAAGGCGTGTACGTATCCTCGAAGTATCTCTTCGAGGACACGATTGGCACGTTCCGTCTGACCATCTGACTCTGGATGATCAGATGTAGACATCTTCAAGCGCGTTCCGAGTGATTTGAACACGGAACGCCGGAAATCAGCAGTGAATCGTGGATCTCTGTCTGATACGAGTTCACGGGGCAACCCATGAAGTCGGAAGATGGTGTCAATAAAGACACAAGCACATCCACTTGCCGTGATTGTCTCTGGTACAGCCACAAGGTGTACCATTTTGCTGTAATTGTCAACAAATACGAGAATACCCGTGTTCCCGCGTGCGTCTTTGGGTAACCCGAAGACAAAATCTATTGAGATGGATTCCCAGCACTCAGCCGGAACCGATAGAGGCTGTAAAGGTGCACGCAGTGAAGGACTTGACTTCACTCGTTGACAGACTTCGCATGCGCAAATGTACATGCGCACAAACTGATACTGGCGGGGCCAGTAAAAGTCTCGACTCACCGTGAGATATGTTTTCTCACGGCCACGATATCCTCCTATAGGAGCATTGTGATACTCGAACATGATCCGCAAACGCAGATCAGTATCATCTGGAATGACAACACGTGGTGTGTCACCAGAAACGGCTGTATAATACAGTAAACCGCTGTGAGTAGTGTATCGATCTGATACAGATCGATACGCAGACGACAATCGTTTCAACGATTCTCGAGATGGCTGTGCGAGATGTGTCAACAGCTTCACAATCTCACCATCTTGGGCATATGCCCGCCTCACATCATCATGCAACGTTGTAGATGGGACTGAGGACGTCATAACCGCAACAGTGACTGCCTCACTGTTGACTTTCACGACTGTTTCAAAGTAGGGAAGACGTGAGAGTGCATCAGCGACGACATTAAGTCGTCCTAGCTTGTACTCAACCGTAAAGTTGTATTCTGCAAAGAATGACAAGCACCGCGCCATTCGTTGTGAAAGGTGCGGGCTATTCACTGCCGTGCGTAATGACGCATGGTCAGTGTAAACAATGAAGGGTCTATCTCCTAATAGATAGACTCTGAACTTCGCGAGTGCATACTTCATGGCAAGGAGTTCCTTGTCATGCACTGGATAGTTCCGCTCAGCTGGTTGCAGCTGACGCGACTGATAGCAGACGACGCGTTCAACGCCTTCAAGATCGTACTGCATGAACGCGCAGCCGATTGCGAAATCGCTGGCGTCACATACCACATGAAATGGCCTGTCCTGATCGGCAATCGCTAGTACTGGGGATTGTAATAAGCTCTTCTTGATACCATCAAAGGAGCGCTGACATTCAGCGTTCCATAACCACATCTCATTCTTTTTCAACAAACGAGAGAGGTGCACAGTCATCTCGGCGTAATTGCGTGAATACTTATGCAAATACGCCGCCAGCCCAAGGAATTTTCGAAGACCTTTGACATCGACCGGCACAGGCCAGTCGGTGATCGCCTTGATCTTTTCGGGATCAGGACGTACACCGTTCTTACCAACGATGCACCCAAGAAGTGGTATTTCGCTTGCTGCAAATATACACTTCTTGAGGTTTGCATACAATTGATGCTTTCGCATGATTGTAAGAACTTGTCGGACGTGGTACCTGTGAACCTCAACGTCCGACTTTCCATCCATAGCTCGACTATGGATGAATACGTCATCGAAATAACTCGGCGCGAATTCTCGTACCGGTCTCAACAGATGTGATACACATCTGTTGAACGTGGCAGGGGCATTACTAAGCCCTTGTGGCATTACTAGCCATTCCCAGAGCATGCCGCTAGGCGTGCTCACTGCGGTATAGGGTATATCCCGTTCTCGCATAAGGATTTGATAGAAGCCATCCATCAAATCCATGGACGAAAAGATGGTACTCTTTGACATACCATCAATGATTACGTCCTTCCTTGGTATCGGCGTTTGTGCCGGTACCGTTGCAGCATTCAACTTGTTAAATGCATGCACTATCCGCCACCCTCCTGTTGCTTTTCGCACACAGAAGGTCGAAGAGCTATGTGGGGAAGTTCATTCCCTCACATGACCCGCAGCTAAACGATCGGCAAAGAACTTGTCGATCGCAAGTACTTGTTCACGAGGCAGTGGCCACTGCTTCATGACGCAGTACTTCGAGCCTGGTTTAATCTCGACCTCGTGTCGAATACCTTTATCCTTCGGTAATCCGCACGGAACAGTTTCAGGGAATACGTCCTTGAATTCAACCAAATCTTCATAGAGAGGATTTGTCTTGAGCGATTCCCACGATTGGGAGTCATATCGCTCAATTCGTGTCTTTTCATCTAGGACACTCTCGTCCATAGATGAACTACTGAGAACTCTCTCGTTCTCAGTAAACATTGTTGCTGACCTTATGTCGGTTACACACTCGTCGTCAGCGACGAGTATGCAGATCTGCTTGACTTTGCCACTACGCAGATCACGCAAGAACCTTTTATGTTCGAGCGTTGGCAACTGAGTGATCTCCGAAGTTAACTTCGGAGGCGCAATCAGATCAAGTGTATAAGCGCCTACACTTGATCCGTTATTGACTATGACATTTAATGTCTCTGTCATTTCCTAAGGACTTATTCCCACAGGCTTCGAAGGACTTATTCCTTCGGCTTCCCGGGGACTTATTCCCTCGGGTTTCGGGGAACTTATTACCACCGTATTTGTATCATCGGGACTTATTCCCTTAACTTTCTCTAGCTGTGGTCGCGCAACCACAGCGAGATCCTCTACGAAAGACTCTCCAGTCGATCTAGGATTATCGTTTCGCTTTACCTGAGCGATCGATTGTTTCTCTTCTAGATGTTCCCCGCTAGGGATACATCTTTGTCCCAGTCCACTCGACTTATTCGAGTGGTGTACCTTCGGTGCAGCCTGTGTTTCCTCACAGCCGCCGGAACTTTGCTCCGAAGTGTAACCGTTTGTTACACTAAGGTTTCGTGCAGTCGTACTAACGACCGTACCACAAGTGAGGCCATCGCACTCACTCGTAGGACATCCACACGCTTGTGGACGCTCCAAAACGTTCATGAGATGGCCATCTGATGAACAAGCGGCAGGCATCGTTACTGTTCGATGTTGCCAGTTTACCCGTGGTTCGTACCTTCTGAGCCACGGTATTCCAAGGATGACATCAAATTTGTCATACAAATCCAATACGATAAAGTCATCGTCATATTGGGTATCTTCTAGCGTATAGTGAATCTTCACTATACGCTTCATGACGGTTACGGATGCGCCTGTCGCAAGACGTACCGTCATCCTCGTAGGAGGTGTGTCACATTCACTGAAGTTGAAGTGACCATCTTCTAGCGATTGGCGTCGCACAAAATTGTTGGACGCCCCACAATAGACTAGAGCTCGAAGGGACAACTTATTCGTCACTTCGAGTTTCAAGGTAATGAGTGAGTCCTCATTACCTAGAGCAGCAACGCACAACGTTTGTGTGTTGGGAGCAACCTTCATCAAGAGGCCTACAAATTCTCTTGACGTTGCTGGACCAGTAGGGTTCTCCGCACCTACTGATCCTGTCCGTTTTTTGACGGTCCATCCCGTTGTTGCGTCTTTGCACCAACAGCGGACCCGCGTCCCTGCCCCTTTCTCATGGGTGGACGGTCACTACGCCCAGTGTTGCGAGACACTGGACGAGGGGCACTACACTCGTAAGCGTAGTGTCCTGTCTTCTGACATCTGTTGCATCTCTGCAACTTCTTGTAGCCTGTAGAGCGAGCCTTCTCGCTCTCTACATAACAGAGTTCCATCGGCTCTGAACCTCCGTTGTCATATCGTCTCGGCTGACGATATGATGTCGAGCTGGCGCGAGCCTGTCTCAGACTGAAGTCTTCCTGTTCCGCAATGGAAATGGCTTGTTCTAGTGAATCTAGTTCAAGTCGGAACAGGTGATTCTTGACGGGAACATCCGCAAGACTCTGCATGAACACCGAAACCAACGTGTGTTCATCCACCGGGTCGGAACGTATACAACTCGTGAGATGTCGTATGTGTTGGGCGTAAGCGTGCACATCACGCTTACCTTGTTTGAGCTTCAAGAGTTCAGTTCGAGCTCTGAACTCAGCTCTAGGAGGTTCATACGTTTGTCTGAGCCGCGACTTGAAGACTTCCAACGACCCAAACGCATATGGGTCGTGCAACTTGAGCCCCAGTGCCCAAGTCATGGCACGTCCTGCCAGATTTGACTGGGCAAATGCAACTTGCATATCCCCGTCGTCGATGCGACGCGCCCTTATGGCGTCATCCAATTCGACGAACCATCTCAAGAGGGAGTCCTCTTCGACTCCCCTATACTTGGAGATGTCAATCTTCAAGGACTCGGGTCGACACGAGTGCATCGACCCGCCAGCAGCAGCCTGCTGCTGTCTCAACAGTTCAAACTGTTGAGCACCCTGTTCTCTCAACAACTCTGCTTGTTGAGAGCCTTGTTGGTGAAGCAAGGCTACTTACTCGCGTTCAGCGTCAAGTTAATTTTGAATGAACTTGGCGATAGTAGCATGTTAGGCATCTCTATTGAGAGCCTCTAGCATGACGCTTACAGCACGGATGCCCATGGTTGAACCCATCCGTTTAACCACATCCCATTCGACATCGCTCGAATGGGAGTAGCCGTCACGCGTAGCATGAAAGCTTTGGTCATCATCACCTAACACATTCATGTTAGATGTGAATGTGGTCCTAGGACGGACTACGAAGTGCTACCAGGTGTAACGGGGCACCCTGAAGCTTGTACTGTCACCAGTACAAGCTACTTATTCTGACGACAGAATAAGGCGGTGCCTCAGAACTTCACGTACTTCTGAGGCACCGCCTTATTCATGTATACTCGTACGTGCAGAGGAAGACGGTAAGAAGAAGCGAGTACTTGGTTAAAGTAAAAAGTAGAACTTTATTTAGCATAGTTAATGTCTGCAATAAATCACTATTTATCTTCATCTAACTATGTCTAAATACAAATGTGCATATCAACTATCTGCTCACCACTCAGTGCGGTCGTCTGTCGTTGCGCGTCTTCGTTGGTTGTTATAATGGCCTATATCAACCAATTAGGAACTACTCGTAAGTGCTACAGAATATTTGTCCTTATGACAATATTCTGAGAATATAACTCTTATAGTACTATTCTAATAACAATTTCTTAGAAATTGTTATGTAACGATTCACCCCGTTACATGTACTCCCTATTGTTGTCGCTGAGAGCCTGACTTCTCGAGTTTTTGTCACCATGCCACCAAAATCGGCGAGATCGATGGCTCCTTCTAACCTCCTCGCTGTACTATTTACAGGACACGCACGGGGTGGGGTGTCTAGGATATCACTAATACGTGCAGGTTTGTCCGTTACCAACCCAGGCATGTCGAACATGCGTATGTGAGCTCGAAAGGGTTCATTTGTAGTCTGCGTGCTCGTTTTTGCTGCAGAAAGAAAACGGCTATGGCCCCCGGATGATGACGACGTGTCCTCGACGACGTCTCGCGAAGCTCTGAAAGAACAAGCAGTAACGACGTGTCCTCGACGACGTCTCGCGAAGCTCTGAAAGAACAAACAGTAGACTATGAACAAGCTACCAACATGACATCAATGGTGTGGCACAACTGGAGTCATGGACGGAGCTGATGGACGGCGCTGATGGACGTATCTGTTGCACTGCAGAGCATGCCCGCTCTGGTGGTGGCAGATGATTCGGGAGGACAAGTTTGCCGGTCCCGAAAACAGGCATTACATGTGGATGTCTGAACCGCTCCTATGCCAGCAACCTTGTCGTTCACACTGTAAGGGGTAGTGCGAGCAGATGAGCGTTTTCGCATAGACGATCCATGTAGCAGGGCTACACAGCTCCTTAAGTCAGAGGAGGACTTAACGCTCTACGAGCAACTTAGTTCCAAAGAACTAACGACTCTACGAGTCAACAAGCTTTACAGCTTCAGATCCCTGTTCCAGGGTACCTAACGATTCAGTGAATCGACAGCACTCAGTGCTCAAGAGTAGCTACCTCAAGGAGGTGTTGCTAGCTTTTAGTGATCAGTGATCAACGATCAAGACGGCTCGCAAGCCACGTGTCCTTCAGATCAAAATGAGAACTGATTTTATTTTTGTTAAAGCCTATAGAATATCTAAATCCTACTCAAAGATCTTTCGCACCTAATGGCTGACACTCGTCAGCCCCTACAAACCGATAAGATATTCTATATCACCTTGACAAAGGGGTAGCCTCAGGTGTGTAACACCTCTGGTACAAAGTACCATAATTTCGTGCAACCCCGTTGTACACCCTCCCTCACCAGACTGACGTTTGCCAAAACGTCAATCGAACTTGTGTTCTCAGCGAGAACAGTGCGCGTACGGTGAACCTCACGGTAACGTACGCTCTAGCATGATGTCCTTATCACCAAACGAGTCAAAGGCTCTGTGTGACTACCTTGGAATAGAGGAGGAGGTGGACTATGGTAGGCATACCAGTGTCCGCGGTGGCACAGGGACAATGTCCGGCTCACTGATGCCTGAGGCACAACCTCTGAACACCCCAAATCCGTTCGCTAAACGTGGAGGTGCGAGCGCGCCACCAGCGCAGCATGCAGCATCTGGGTCTGATGAGACTATCATCACGAACCCGCTCGATGAGCAACAACAACTGCTTGTCCAAAGAGAAGAAAACGCTCAGCGTTATGTACAAATGGCTGCAACCCTTGAACGCCAGCGTGACTATGTGTTCACCCCACCCAGTGTGGAGGAACGTCTACGTCAAGCGGCCGGCCAAACATTGGCAACGTGGGTCATTGGCCATGGGCCTAAGACTCCTGAGGAGGTGGTGAGCTGCCAGGCACTTCGTGAGAGGTACCTGGAGCCGCACCTAACGACTCAAAGTCAATACAAGGCACGCCTTGACATGCAAGCACGTGGTGCACCGGTTCCACCGATCAAGGGTATACCCATTTTCTTGCTCGCAGGCGAAACAGTGAGCGAAGAAGACGATGCCTTCGTTCACTGGGTGCACTATGTGCGTCGCCTCAGCAACATTTTTGCTCTAAGGGCTAGTGCCCATGCGGCGGATGTGCGTCTCGAACGCAAGCTTCGGTATGATTATGCCAAGCTTAAGGCCAGAGGCCAATTGCGCAAGCGCACGCGCTATGCTTCGGCTACTAAGGTAGCCGCGAGTGCTGGTCAGTCTGTGGCCAACAACCCGCAAACCCGCACCACTAGTGGTGGGGAACGGCCTCGGTCTCGATATAACCATGGCCACGATGCTCAAAAGCATCCAAAAAGCATATGGGCAGTCTTGCCGAAGAGGGGTACCTCAAATTCCCATGAGTTTTCAGACTCAGGGTGCCCACGCCACTTAACCAGATACTGGTATTGGCCCTGACGACGACGTCGTTTCAGTAGTCTCTCGACATGAAATTGACGACACCCATGCTCATCGAGCAAAGTCGGTGGCGGCCGGTGTACCGGTGGAGGCCCACGAGAAATTGGTTCTCGAAGTGAAGGGTCTTCAAGAGGCCTTGGGTAAGTCCCAGTGCATGCTGGATGCGATGCAAAGCCGCCTTCAGGCGATGGAGCAAGCTCAAACTCGGAGCGAGGCTCAGTTGGACTTGCTGATTCGCCTACAGCAATCCGGGGCAGTGCCCTTGTCGTCGGCGCAAGCGCCTCCAAGTTCACATGGGAAGGATCCCGGTACGGCTTAAGTAAGCCTACGTAGAACACTGGATGTGTGCGCAATTTGCGCGGAAGGTTTAGCGTATACGCAAGTCCCTTCTTGGCCGTGACCGTAAACGGTCCAATAAAGCGTGGACGCAACTTTGTCTTAAAGACAGCAGACACTACATTTGTAGGTAGATTTTTAGCATTGAGTAGTACTTGGTCTCCGACCTCATAACGTTCAATACAATTTCTGCCTTTGGCATCAGCTTGTTGTTTTTGGGTATCTTGGCTATCAGCCATTGCGTCACGCACATGTCTTAAGACATTTAATCGCGTTGCGAGAAACTCGCCTACCTGTTTTTGAACAGTAGCAGGGCTGATATCAGCAAGCCGATCGGCAACCTCTCCCCCACCAAGCCCTGATTCACGTAGTGATAGCGTTAACGGAACGCGAGGGTGAGTGAGACCGTTTATATAGAACGGAGTAAAGCCTGTTGAGGCATGAACAGCGTTATTCAACGCAAACTCAACAACAGGGAGCATTGAGCTCCAACGCCTAGGCGTATCAGCGCAAATACTGCGCAAAATGTCGTTGATGACGCGGTTAACACGCTCAGTTTGACCGTCGGTCTGCGGATGATCCGCTGTGGACATGTCCAACCGAGTGCCAAGCACCTTGAAGATAGACTTCCAAAACTTCCCAGTGAAGCGGGGGTCTCTATCAGAGATAATTGCCACCGGCAAGCCATGTTGGCGAAACACACGGTCGATAAACAGCTTTGCTGTACCTTCAGCATCGATGCTATCCGGCACAGCCGCTAAGTGAGCCATCTTGCTTAATCGGTCAACAAAGACCACAATACCAGTGTTGCCTTCCGAATCTTTCGGTAGGCCAAACACAAAATCCATGCTCATGGACTCCCAACAACCAGTGGGTACTGGCAAACTAGCCAGCGGCGCCGCCGCATGTGCCGAGGGTTTAACCCGTTGACACGTTTCGCACGTACGCACATAGGTGCGCACCCACTTATAAAGTTTGGGCCACCAATAACTTTGGCTCACCGAGCTATAAGTCTTCTCACGACCGAGATGACCACTTAAAGCAGTATCATGTGCCTCATAGAGGATTCGATACTTTAATTCCTCATCATGAGGTACAGCGATACGAGGCTTATCCTCAATATCCGTGCGATAGCACAACAGGCCATTATCGATGGAATATCGATGTAGCCTCGCACGTAAACGTGCCGACAATTCTATGTCCGAGTCTTTAAACTCATTGCTCCCAAGAGCTTGTAGCAAAGCTACACACTGATCATCCTTGGCATATGCCGCACGAATTAAGTCAGGGACTGACGACGACATAGTCGTAACATGAGCAAGATCATAGTCAGGTCGACGCGATAGCGCATCAGCCAAAGCATTTTGCTTACCTGGCTTGTACTTCACCTCGAAGTTATATTCGGCAAAGAAGGAAAGCCAACGAGCCATTCTCTGTGAGAGATGAGGCGACTGTGTCGCAGTGCGTAATGACGCATGATCTGTATAGATCACAAACGGCTTGGAGCCAAGCAGATGTACTCTGAATTTGACAAGAGCGTACTTCATAGCAAGTAGCTCTTTGTCATGAACAGGATAGTTCTTTTCAGCAGCTTTCAGCTGCCGAGACTCGAATGCGATGACGCGTTCGCGTCCATCG